CGGTTCAGGAAATGTTGAATCCAAAGGCCTTAGATAAAATACTCAATCTTGCCAGAGAAGAAATGAAGTATGTCAAAGAAGCTGACCATGAGACTATATCAAAATATACTGATAAACTTTGGTTTTATTATGGCGCCAATGATGGTTGGACTCCAATGAAATACTATAAGAATATGATATTAAAACATCCTAATCTAAATGCTCAATTGTGCCAACGCGGTTTCCAACATTCCTTTGTACTGAAAAATGACATGGACATAGGACACATCGTAGGCGATCTCATTAATGAAGATTCGAGACATTGATGTCTTGTATTTAAATTGCATTTAATAGTTACATTTATGTCTCACTTCAATTTTTTTATGATATTTTTTGGAGTAAGGGTATATATTATTGTTTTTTTTAAATCATTGTTTTATATTATTTTATATTTATTGTTATTATTTTATATGATTAGAATTGTTATATTCATACAAGAATACATCAAGAATTTTTTTTTAATTATATATAAAAAAATGAACAAACAATACAATGCTCAGTTTATATTGTACCAAAAATGATTGAAATTTTGCAATAAAATGTTAATACAAAAGAATATATTGATATATTATTATCAGTTAAAATGTTAGCATTTATGATATTCCTAATGATTTTCCATTCGTATTTGGCGCCATTTAGGCAATCTTAGAGATATAACACGGCAAGAATGCTATCAGCTGTCATAAGTTTATGTCGCCTATATTTCATTTATATTATTGTGTATATATATGTATATATATATGCAGAGAGAAGCCTGAGAGGGGTCACGCCGCCGTTTTCCATAAAACACTTTTTTCTAGCTGGTACAGTAGCGTCAACTAGATCCATTTTAGAGCCGGCGGAACTACATAGCCAGATTCAGTTTTCGGTGCTACGGTAAAACAGCCGGTTAGTTCAAAATTGCGGAGAAATATTATGGATTTGTTTTATTAGCTGCGCGCGTAATGTTTTGCCATTCTAGTATATATGACGGACAGCGATAATAAGTTATTATTGAAGTATTTTTATGTATACTTGTGACAAAAAATAAATTTTTTGAAATAAATTTCCTTAAATTAATTTTCTTAATAATTTTTTTTCTGATTTTTAAATATATAACGTATAGAAGATATTTACAATAAATTGCTTTTACTTTTTTTTTTTATTCTTGAAACAAAATTATCAAATATTTTAAGTAATATCAAATTATTATGCTTTTAATTTATATAGCTTTTTACAATTAATTATTAATTAATTATTAATTATATTATTTAAGTAATTTTTTAATTTATAAATTTAATGGGATGCACTAGTGCGCACTGATGCATATTAAAAGCTATTATATATAAATTTATATAAGCATAATTTAAAATTTAGTTTTATTAATTAGAGGGAACTAAAAAGCTAGAGGAGGTCTCACAAATTTTTGTGTGATGTCATTTTAATTAAAAATCTCATTAATCCATTAAAATTATTTTCAAAAAATTACTTTCTAAAATAAAACAAATGTTTTAGTTTTTATTACATATGATTTTTTGACGTATCGTCAAAGAGTTTCGAAGTCTCTTACATGTAAGGGGCTTATTCCTTTATTATATTTCAGTAGTATTTCACAAGTATACATATATGTGTCATATTACCATTAAAAATAAAACTTTTATATCTTGCATTTTACCTGTTTGAAAATAATTTTAATGGATTAATGATTTTTTGCGTTCAAAATGATACCAGACATGACATAAACCTGATAATTTTTAGTTAAATACGTAATCAAAATTTTTATTATTAGTTTAATTAAAAATTATCCAATTTATGTTGTATTTGATATCATTTTAATTGCAAAAATCTTATTAATCCATTAACATTATTCTCAACCAAAATACAAGTAAGAATCTTTCTTAAAGTAAGAATCAAAGTGACAGAAATCGAAATTATAAATTATCGTTTTGTTGCGATCCTTACAAACATGCTTTATCGTACGACTTTTTGATTATTTAAATATAATTTAGTTTGAGAACGCGCAATTAAACAATCGAACCGCAGGATTGAGTAATTAATATAACGATAAACTCTGTGATATATTAATCGTTTATTAAATAATTGATCTATAATTTAAAATATTTGTATAATTTAATCGAGACGTTAAATTTCTTTCTAAACATGATCGCGAAGAATCGGGAAATAATTTGATATAATTAATAATTAATTCTCTCTCTCTTTCTTTTACTCTCTAGGTAACAATTATTTAAAAATACTTAAAATTAAATATATTTTGTCCAATGTTTTTTCGTTTGACTTTTCGACAATCTAAATATGATTCGGATTAAGAACGCGCAATAAAATAGTCTAATCGCAGATCCGAGTAATTAACATAACGATAAGCTCCGTGATATATTAATCGTTTTAAATTCGTTTTAATGTTTATGTGCTTCGGCCTTGTTATCATTCGCCCGCCGACACTCGAGGAGTAAAGTAATAATGCCACGGACGGCTCGTTGGTGCTGTCATCGTGCCGCGGATGACTTGTCGCGTCGACCGGTGGAACAACCCTGAGGTAAGTAATTTATTATATATTAATTATTTATTAATTGTACGTGCAATTTAAATTAAGCAATTAATTGCGTAATTTGATATTTTATTTATATAATTGAAACAAAAGAGAATTAGAGAAAATTATTTTTATATGAAAGCTATAATTTTGTAAAAGTTTCTACTTTTAGATTATAGATTTTATATGTAATTATTAGAGTTATTAGTAGTGTTCTTTTCAAAATTTATAAAATTGTTTTATTAATCTGTTTATTATATACATTGAATATAAAATTCAATGCGTATAACAAATTTTTTAAAATATTAATTATTTTGAGCGCTGCTATAATTTGGATCTTCTATTTATATATTACAGATCAACGTAGCGACCCTTACATCCTGAGAGGAGGAGGAGGCCTAGGAGAGGCATCCTGCACCGGCGGAGCAACCCAAGGGTGAGTATTCATTATTTGTACATTGGTCGTTAAAAATTGCGTACGCGCATTAATTCAGTCTCATTATTTGAATGAATTATAAACAAGAGAAAATTAGAAAGAAAGACTTTTACATAAGTTTGATAAATGTCTCTATTATTTAAAAAAATAGTCTTTTTAAAATTTATAAACTTGTTTCATATTTATGTATCTGCTTATTATCATACTTATCGGATATAAAATTCGGCACATAAAATAATAATTTTTTGAAATATTAATTATATTTTGGGCGCTGCTATAATTTGGATTTTATATTTGTATGTTACAGACAACGTAGCCTCAAGACCAACAACTCCGCTGTTGCGCATCAGTGCCGGTGAGTGACACTTTTATTTAATTTGAAAGTCACGGATTTGTAGAGATTGTAGATGTAAATTGTAGATTGTAGATAAATCCGTTACTTTAAATGGATGAGCTGAAAACAGATTAAGTTGAATAACTTTTAATAAATTCTTTTAATATGCATTGCATCTATTGCAAAAGTAAATTAATATCTAAATTAGAAAAGGAAGATTATAGAAAACATTTTTTCTCAATTTGTAGATTTTATTTAATTTATTAAGAACGCTAATAATTTTATTAATTATATACGTGATGGTAATTCATTCTTATAACGCGCGCCGATCTTATCCTAATTTCTTACAGCTCATCCATATTGTAGAATTTGTTTGTAGATATTGTTTGTAAACTTTATTTTAACTGATATAAGAGAGATCAAATCAATCAATTAAATTATCTTTAATATGATAATAAATGGCATAAATATTGTATAAATTAATCTTATTTTATTATAAATTATATATTATTATATATTATTATATAAATTAAAATTATATATTATTACATATATGTATTATTTAAAAAAATTATATATTAATATATAAATTTTAATCAAATTTATATATTTATTTAATTTATCATAATTTTTTAATCCAAATTTTGATTGATAATTACTTAGCTTTGTCTCAGTTAAAATAAAG